AGAGAGAGAGAGAGAGAGAGAGAGAGAGAGAGAGAACACATGGCCGGCAAGCCACTCCCACCAGGTCACATGGCCAACAAGCCACTCCCACAAAGAGGCCACATCCACAGAGTAGGTTCCAAAAAATGTTGAAACCCACCACTGCTCTCCCAGTATTAATCATTTCACTTCCACTATTTGCTTTGTAGATGAAGCTCTTTGACAAAAATAACGATGGCCGACTGGATCTGAATGACCTTGCAAGGTAAATATTCACAGTTTTGATTCACTTGGAGCAGCTTACCTCCTGTTGTACAGTTGCTAAAGGCTCAGGACTTGCTTTTCCTGGAAGCAAGGTGGCAATGCTCCATATCACAAACTACTGTTGCCAGAAATGTCTGCTAACGTCCTGTGAAATCTCCTCTCTCTCTAAGCTCTGTCAAGCACAACTGTTTATTTCTGTGGAAATGAATTCTCAGAAAATAATGGTTTGGCTCTCTCCACTCAGGATTTTAGCTCTTCAGGAAAATTTTCTCCTTCAATTTAAACTGGATGTAAGTACAGCAATTTGCAGGAAACTTGATTATTCTTTTTTTTCTATGGTTCCCCCCCCCCTCAAAAAAAAATTAATTCCTCTTCTACATGTTCTTTGATTTAGGCTTCCAGTGGAGAAGAAAGAAAAAGAGACTTTGAGAAAATCTTTGCACACTACGATGTGGTAAGAGTTTTATTATTACTATTTGGGATTACTAACCTTGAAAAACACGAAATGATAGTAGCCCATTTTATGAATGCTGCCTTTTATTGGAAGACATTCTCAAATACTCTATGTCTACTTTAAAGATGGGACGTGGTGGCTCAGTGGCTAAGACACCGAGCTTGTCAATCAGAAAGGTTGGCAGTTTGCGGGTTCGAATCCCTAGTGCCGCGTAACGGAGTGAGCTCCTGTTACTTGTCCCAGCTTCTGCCAACCTAGAAGTTCAAAAGCACATAAAAATGCAAGTAGAAAAATAGGAACCACCTTTGGTGGGAAGGTAACAGTGTTCTATGCACCTTCAGCATTTAGTCATGCTAGCTACATTACCATGGAGACGTCTTCGGGCAGTGCTGGCTTTGAAACGGAGATGAGCACCACCCCCTAGAGTCGGGAACAACTATCATGCATGTGCAGGGGAACCTTTACCTTACTTTAAAGATAAGTTAAAAATAATCTATGAAGAGGAATTTATCTGTCATTAATGAGTCCTATTTAGTTGGCATGCAAATCATGGGTGTCCTCATGCAAATATAATTTGCATTGAAATTAGATAATTCACACTATTTGCACAATCATTGCTGATGTGATATTATTGTGGCTAGTCAGTTTAACGACAAGTCACTTGGTTACCATTCTTCACAAAGTGTAGAAATGGATTTTGCTTTATTAAAATTATAGTAATTATTTTTAAATGTAAGTGTGTATACAAATCCATGCATACACATATAGTTGCCGAGATTATTATATCTGCTTTGCTGGGCAAATGGGTCAAGAGGGCATTATTCCAAACAAATACTGTTTTCAGTGGAGGGCGTTTTCTGCCTTCCATTACTTAAAATGTCGAAAGTAATATATATATTTAAAATTTGTTAAGGCTGTGCAAAACATTTCAAGAGGTATTTGGCAATGAGCAAGAATCTGTATCTATTTTGTAATCGTTAAAGCAAGAGGGGTTTTTTTGTTTTTGGCAAGGATTACAAGTTGCTTCATAAGTGGGTTCTGGCTGTCTTCCATTCATAGTAATTCTTTTTGTCCTCTAGGTACCAATACAGATAATTCTGGTCTCTCATTGTAATGCACAGATGAAGACTATCCGGGGGTGTCAAACTCACTGTTGTGGCCTGCCAGCAACCAGCAGAGCTGGCAGCAGATTCAGACAGTGAGGAGGTTGGGGAGGAACATGGGCCAGTGCTGGAGTCTTAGGAAGACTCTGATGAGGGCTCTGTGTCGGAGGCAGAGAGGGGGCCAGAGCCATATGCCAGTTATCAGCTGCTTTCAGAGTCAGACATCAGTGAGGCAGACGAACAGCTGGAGCCTGTTCCCAGTGTGCGCATGTGCAGAGTTTTCAGATGAAGGAAACAGCTAAAGAACAGGGGTTGACTTGGAAGTAAGGCCATAGGTGGATGATGAATGGTTCCTCCCAGAGGAAATAAAAGAGGAGCAAAAGGGGAGTGGAGTTTGCAGGAGACAATTAGTTCGCTTAATTGGTTCATGACTCTCCGAGACTCCTTGCCAAGTTCTGCAGATATCAGCTTGGCAGCTGTCCAAGCCAGATAAGGACTGTGACTATAAATCCTCCCTTGAAAGACTTTGCTGGATGTGAATGAGCAGAATTCACAGTAAATTAATAAAAGGGGTTTTTGTCGGAACAAGGAGTTTGCTTTATGCTCTTGGGAAGCCTCGGTCAGAACAGTCATGGTCTGTAGGCCGGATGCGCCACGTGATGACCACGCCCACCCCTGGTTTAGCGAAAGGGAAAAAAGTGATGATATATCACATGACGATGACATGACAACGTGACTTTGACACCCCTCTATAGGCAGTGGAAAATGTCTCTATCTATGAAGGTTTTCATAGATGTCATATTTCATTTCATTTTATGCGTTGGAATTGCATAAAGAATTTCCACGAATAGATGAAGATCTCTAGCTTTCAAAGTCAACTGTTGGCCATAAGAAGCAGAACAATAGAATTATGTAGAGGAGGCCAGCATACTTGTTTCCTCCTTTTGTTTGTACAGATGACACCCATTTAAAGTACTTGTAGAAAGTCTGTGACTCTTATTGATCTGGTCCATGTGGCGGAAAGAACTTGATGCTCGTATCCCATTAGTCTCTAATATGCCACAGCTCTTGTAAGATTTATGTGTCTACTTGTTCTCAAAGCTGACAGGATAGGAGCAAGGCAGTAATTTTTCCCTTATGGATTCTGGTAATTTTCTTTTCTTTTTCTTTTCTATGAGATCCTTCTTACGGATATAGCTTTGAAGGTTGAATATATTATTGCCAGAAAGAGGAGCAAAGTATGTAGATAGACATGTCAACATTTTTACTCCATAAATGTTCCTGATCTTTATATATTCCAGAGTAAGACAGGAGCTCTTGAAGGTCCAGAAGTTGATGGGTTTGTAAAAGATATGATGGAGCTTGTCAAGGTAACTTATTCTTATTATGTTTTCTGCCCGTTATTTTTTAACCAAAAGTTGCTCGCAGTCCTAGATCAATTAGTCCACCTGTGAATGTTTCGGTTCATCTGCTTAATGATTGAACAAAATAAGTTGTTTACATTTTCTCTTTTATGGAAAGCGAAGAGGAGAAGAATGGGAAAATGTTATGCAACATAAACTTTTGCATACATTACAGCTTGTATCATTCAAATTATCCATACTTCCTCAATTACTGTCCTTCCCCATCCTTCCTCCCTTGTATAAATATTTGCTGGTAATATATTAACTGTGTATTTCAATTCTACACTATATATTTCTTGCAACTTTCCCCAATCTGATAACTTCCTTTATGCTAGATTACATCTGCCATTACCCTCAAAGATCAAGCAATTACCTATCTTTGCTAGGGATAATAGGAGTGAAGGTTCAAAACATCTGGAAGAGCCACAGTTCAAGAAGCCTGTTTCATGTTATGTGCTTTTTAAAAAATTAAATCTATTACCCTGGAGTACAACTCCATTATTTCTCATTGACTCCAATTAGATATAACCTTGCTGGGTTATATAATAATAATAAGGGAATAAGGGACTTTGACGGAATAGTTGCAGGCTAAGCTGGGAAATGACGGAACCACATAGAAGAGGCAGAGAAAGGCTCTCGGGTAGACTGATGTCATGGCCACTGGTGTGTAATTCCCTTGGCAACGATGTGTTGTTCTCGTGTTGTGTTCAATTTTATGTTATTTAAATTTTTCTAGATTTTTTAAGGTATTGCATTGAGTTTAACTTAACTTATAGCAGTAGACTTATATACCGCTTCATAGGCCTTTCAGGCCTCTCTAAGCGGTTTACAGAGAGTCAGCATATTGCCCCCAACAATCTGGG